AAAAAAAAAAAAAAAAAAAAAAAGGAAGACCCGCCTAGGGCCTAGCTCCAAGCGCCCACGTGTCATAAAGTTATAGCCGGGCGGCAATACTATTTTTTAATAATTAAAAAACCGTAGTATAGCCGAGTATATTATATTTAGGAGTACATCGCCGAGCGGCCATACTAGTTATTAAAAAGAAATTAAAAGAAAAAGCCCTTCTTAGTTTATACTTTATAGATATTAATTTGCTAGTTTCGACATCTCCAAAGTAGATATTGAAAAGAGAAATTTCACAAATCAATTTGAGAGTTCAATTTTTTCTTCTTCTTTTTTTGTGGGAATGTTTGCCTTTGGTCTAACTCGTTCTCTTGAGTGCTACTAAATTCTGTTACCGCACACATTATTTTAGAGAATTGCATGTTGAGTTGGAGTGTTCTTGGTAATTGCTTCACATTTCAAACAACATTTTACATGAAGAATATACAACCACCTCACTTACTACTATACCCATAAATCTTTGTTTGATATTGTTGTTCTAGTTGGCAAAAAGAGATTGCAAAATCACCATCTTGCATTTTTGTTACAATAAGTAAGAAATAATCTTAACCACTCACATTCTTTCATAATTAGTAAAATACGGAACAAGAAAAATATGAATAAAATACGTACGTGTTTTATTCAGCAATATTTTAGGTAACTTAGATGAATTAGGTTATCTTTTATTAGGTACATAAACATAAAGGCTGGTGTTGTCTTCATCCAAACGTCTCACAACCCAATCAAGAGGAAACTCAAACTTAAGATATCCCAAATGTAAACCATGGCCAAGTGGGAAATATATTGGATTAAATCTCAATTTGGTAGGCAGATTAATGCTAGCATTACATAGTATCTAAACTAGTAGCATTATTAATCACTGACACTAGATACCAAAAGCATTCATTAAACTGAGCAGAATAGTGAGGAAACAGAAAAAGGGAACTGGTTTGGTGAGGCATATTCAAAAGAGACAGTTGCACCGGTGGCAATGGGGATCCCATTATTAACAAGGCACTCATTGGGCCTCAATATTTGAGGACGTATGAGTCTCTCAGAATGAAAATAGCCACAACTCAGATGGATTTGGCCAATTCTGCATCCACTTGGGCACTCATTCAGAATTTGAACCTGGAAAACTTGGCTTCCTGAAGGGAGCTTGGTTGTGGGGACTTGTATCACCTCAAGATACTGTTTCGAATATTCCACCGTGTTGGCATCAAGCACCATCCTTCCTGCAATGTCACCGCAAGTTCAAGATTAATAAACATGTGGAGTATAATAGTAACATTCTCTTGTCAAATATATGACATGTTACATTTGAATGTTATGCGTATAAAAAAAAATATAAAGTTTCAAGATTAAAGTAAATATAAATACATATAGAGAATGTGTGGAGAGAATGA